AATTATACAGGTATAGACAAAGAACTTAAAAGAGACTAGTGGTGTAAATAAAAAAAAAAAAATATTTATCAACAATTCCATAAATTATCTTGATATGTTATCTTGAGCCTTGATATTATCGAATTAAATAAATATCGATACTGTGTGTAGTTACAGAATATATTGAAAAATTAAAAATACAATAAATTAATAAAAAAAAATTCATTACTAAGCACTAGAGGAAAATTAATCAACTTGCACAACATAAAAAAAGAAAATCAAAATTGAATTAATAATGACTGTAACTTATAAACGTCAAATTTATATATATAAATAGCAAAAATTATTAAATTAGTAAAAATGTTGATAAGAAATAATATTGAAATATTGTGCCGTCTCTGATCTGACAAAGCGTTTAATATTGACAACTTTTCGTTAGATCAATTATCGTTAGAAATGAAAAAGAAAACATATATATATATATCACGAAATCCATACCAGAAACTCACTTGAAAATACAATAGATATTAATCTATATGAGATATTCCATAAACCAACGGATGATATTTCTTTTTTTAAATTATCAGTATAAAAATATCAACCCATGAGCGATGAAAGTTCAGATAACCAAATCGCAAATATCAGATAAATTATGATTTTATTAATTTAACAAAAAATTGTTATTTTTTTTATTTTCAAAAAATTACATAGTGAGCACTCTAAAACACCATTGGACGATGACAATCATTCAGTTCCCGGATGAAATCCATCGGAAACGACCACACACATGAAGTTTCTCCCAATTAGCTTCCACATGAATATTTCCACAATGGCTAGTTCATTGGCCCCTCAGCTGGATTGCTTATCTCCATCTCTTAGCGGCAGGTAATTGCAGGGGATTCAATAATGATCAAAGTATCTTTCATAGATCAATTTAACTCTATTAAAATTATTTCAAAGGGAGCTCGTAATCGAAAAATGATTTCTCTAAAACAGTTTTTAGTAACGAGCTTGCTATCTTCGAGAACAACAGTTCAAACGTTCACATTGATAACAGATATCCACCTACCATTATATTTTCTATCTTAGGGTTTGAATCAGGGGTGCCCGGAAGATTTTAAGGCGCAACTTGTCAATATTCTTGTTAGAGGCATATTATGACCATATTATATTATATGACCTGCTTTTGAATTTTTGAGAGGGGCATATTGCGACAGAGTAATGAAAAATTTTAAAACAGGAGACAAAAGAAAAGAGGGCAAATAGATGAAGTGTAATTGTATACGACCTACGATTTTTATTATTTTTTATTTTATTATTATTTATGAAATTTACAACTTTACATTTAATATATAATCAACAAATGTGATACAGATAAATAAATGGCATGATAAGGCTTGTAGAGAATCTACTCATTGGTAGCACTCGGAAGATTATCAGGGATCGAGGAGGAAGCAAGGTTAGAAACGAGACGATTAGGATGGTTCTGCAGTTTGTTATGGAAGGATAGGTATCTGGATTGGGCCAAATCGGAAACATAGGGAACATTAAGGTCATTATGGATTATTTTATTTGTTACAAAGTAAGGAGCATTAAGGATTTTAAGAAGGATTTTGGATGGTAAGGTTGGTTACGAAAGGAATTCGATGGTATAGTGGAGACTCAAAGCACAACTCAGTAAGTCCAAATAGGTCTTATTATAGTCATGTATATGAAAGGTTAGAGCGTTTGTCTAGTAAGTGCTGACGTAGTCGAAAACATCGAGTGGTTTCTTGTCGTTTCAGTCTGGTATGAGAATTCCAAGTTTGACGCTTGCCCAAGAGAAGTCCTAGGTGTCGGATTTGCTCAACAGGGATAAGTGGGGTATTATTAAAGGATACTGTAGGACAGGAAGTCATAGGTTTACGACGAAGAGTAGAGGTAATTTGATGGGATTTATTTTAATTCTCTAGTTTTGACACCATTCTTCAAGGTTTGAGATGTGAGATTGAAGGATTTGGGATGCAATTGTTGGGTCGTTATGAACTGTTAGGACACATGTGCCATCGGCAAAGGTTGTAATAACGGTGTTTGGCTGGATTGGGATGTCAGCTGTATAGAATGTGTAAAGAATAGGACCTAGGATACTACCTTGAGGAACTCTAGCGAACTGGGAAAAGATGGATGAATAGGCAGTTTTTATTATTATAATTCTACTACTTCTTGCACTATTTTTAAGAAGAGCAATAAAATATCTTGGGAGAAGGTTAGAGGTTCATACACCATCGACCTTGATGAGAGGGGCCATGGGTACCTCTGGTTTGAATTAAAGGGAACATTATTATCTGACCTAACTATTAACTGAAGTACAAGTGCAAGTACTAGAATAGGGAATTATACAAAAACACCAACACCCAAATATAAACATAAGAGAACAAAACAAATTCTACTCTAAAATATTCTATATTTTATTTTATTACAAATAATATTGTTTTTGTTTCTTCAATAAATGTTTTAGTTTTAACATATTGCATATTTATAAAAATATATTGAAAAAGGGTACAGAATCACAGCAATTGTAAATTTGTAGCTGGAAAATATTAAAAAATAAATCATGTAAAAAAAAAATCCTTAAATGAAATGCTGACTAACAAAGAACAGCTTTGTTTGCAAGATACAAGTTAAAGAAAGACATATAAAAAAAAAATAGAAGAAATAAGTAATCAGTATAGCGATATTTTATCATTTTCATGGTATCATTTAAGCATCTCCTTAATCTAGCTCCTATTCATAGTTTTCTAGGTAACTATTTCTCGGAACCTCAACAGGCATACACGCGGATGGGAGAACCAGGATGGTCGCATCGGGCGCTGCGGCTAAAAGAGCAAGCACCACGAATGAAGGACAAAAATATAATGAATAATCTTATAAACAGTGATAATTCTACCCGCTTGCCATATTCCCATGTATTCCTCTCTATCTTTGTTTAATCTTCATACACGAAAAGTTGTCAAGTAGAAGTTATTGTTTCTAATCTCATTTCCATTTAATGTTACAAAAATTAATACAAACTGGCTAAAAATATGAAATTTATCGGTCATTGGCTTTACCAGTAAATGTACATCTAGATATATAAGTATAATTGCTCCCGATCGATTTGGAAGTTTGTGAGGGGAGCGCCTGATATAATTTCGCCCTAGGCGCCTACAATCAAGAAAACGGCCCTCAAACCGAGCCCGTTACGATGTTCAAATCATATGCTATAATATGTAAAGAGTTAATATTGATTACCCATAATATGTGTTATAAGTAATATAAGTCAGTGACATTATATTTAGTAGCAACCGTGACCAGCGTGTTAGCATCAACAGTCTTTGTAAATGTGTAAATTTCTTTGTTAGTTTAAGTTTCGAATTTTCACAAAAAAAGGGATTATTATAGCCTGGTTCACTGATTTATATCTTGTGTTTCAACTTGACAACGGGCCTTACAGAGAGATTAATTATATATTACATAGATCAGTAAGATATGTAAATATAAACAATTAGCTCAGGTAAATCCTCATTACAAGAACGTTAATCAAACTAATTACGGTCTCTTAAATAAGCATTGCATATTATCTCAAATATTAACAACCTAATGACCAGATAATTAGGCATTAATTTTTTATTTCATAATATACATATATAACAAGATCATCATGATATATAAATATATTTTATTACCAACTTCTATATTCTTGCTTTAAATATTCCTATTCGCTGTGAATCCCAGCAACCGTAATTTTTATCAGTATATTCAATATAATGACTTTTAAGTCTTTTTGGTCTCGTCACAATTTTGATAGAAAGAGACTAAAAATATTTTATTAATTTTTCTCTAAATCAACTAATAAACACATCTGGTTATTCCTCACAAGTACATGGCATAACTAAAAAATACTAAGGTACAAAATATCTAGTGAAAAAATTAGCACACATGGCTAGTATTCTTCACAAATATCATAATAACTTACATATAAATATTGACAGAGAAACTCAAACTAACTACAGAGGAACTATTGAAATTCCTTCCATTACGAAGGGATAAAACGTGCTGGATGAGAAATCTGCGGTTAGTTGATATATTCAAACACAGGAAAAGTTATACTACTGGGAATAATACGTTGAGTTTGATAATAGTACTGGGTTTAGCCCTAGTGACGCGGTTGAGAGAGGAGTGCAGGAAACTCCTGGAGTCATACTTTTCCCTCCACAGTTGGAGGGACAAGTCTGGTTTGGAGTTCTCTCTTAATATTGTATATAGGTGTGTATGTGTTCTTTTTATTTATTCATTTTTAGGCTATTTTATTCTTATTTATTGTATATATATTATTTTTCTGTATAATTTATTTTATTTATTGTACATAGAGTGTGATCTGTGAACTCTATTATAAATGTCCTAGAGACAGATTGTGATATTTTTCAATAAATAAATTTAAAAAATAAAATAAAAAATAATTAAAAATAAATAAACGATTGCTAAATCGTTTTCCTGTAAGGTAAAAAACAAATCTCAGGTATGACAAGTGTTTATATGACAGGTTTCACAGGTTTATATGACAAGATGTGAATCAAAAATTATAAAATAAAAAAATATTATTGAATATTTGGAAAACGAATGAATTACGAATGAAACATAAATTATATTAAAAAAAAATTTAAAAAACAAAGCCAACAATAATGGCAGAGGTATGATGTAGCTAAGCTGGAAGTGTAATGTAGATATGCTGTAATGTAATGTAGATAGGCTCTTGCCTAAGCATTATCTTAAAATTTCGATAAAAGCTATGGTGTTATTTTATCACTATCGACTGATCACAAAAAGTTATTCGTCGGAAATTTTTTCCTTCTCTTGATGAAGGTAATTTAGTAACCATAAAAAATAATTCTCTCAGAAGATCAGAATATGTTGCGGTTCCATGTTTTAACCGTATCTGATCATGGGATACGTCGCACGCGTCTGTTATCCCTCAGTGGTTTGGAATCTTGATACCGGAGATTTTACATAAATGTTAAGAGACATCTAATTTGCATTATATGACATGCGTCATTGACCTCGAGTTCGCGGCGGTGGACAAATAGATCGCTCGACGGAAGCCAAAGAGGTGATTGCGCAGTTCCCATGGCTTCGCCGCCGTCAGTTAATTGCCTGTTAATAACAAGAAGGGACGAGGCAGGCTGAGGAATGTGCATAGATAATACCAGCTCGAATGGAGGCCATCCCGGGGAGAGGATTTGCATTTAAAATAAAGCGGTTGCACAACGTGACTGTAAAATGGCGAACAGTAGTGCTGACCTCAAACTGACTGGATGCAATGGTGTGGATGGGGGCAGTCAGTAAGGATACACCCGGTGGTAGGGGACCTGGTGTGAGTTTCAGGCGTCAAGATGTTAATTTTTTTTTTTAATTTTAATGATTGTTTCTCGAATCAAGACAAGTTGATACATTGTATGAGTCTGGGGGGCGGGGTGGCCGAATAGGCTAAAGCGTGTGCACAGCACCGCTAGTTGCCTGGCAACTCGATAACAGAGATTTCAGATGATATAAAAAGTACGAGTTCGCGTCCCGGTGCCGGAGGGGATTTTAAATTCCCCGCCCTCACCCCCCGGCCCGGGAAAATCCCGTATAGTCTAAAAGGCGAGGTAGGGAAGAGAAAAAAAAAAAACATTGTATGAGTCTAAGCTGACTTCCATTCCCAATTAAACGGAACAATATTTCTATGGTTCATTATTTTTAAAAGTTATATTTCTGTGCTCTGCAGGATCAAGGACACCAAGCCCATTTTTTTAATTAAATGATTTAGTAACTAAGAATAAATTTTAATAGCTCAAAGCTATGCAAAATTGGTTCATTCTGAACAAATATAAAAATCGAACTGGAGTTCTTAACCTCCATAACAAGAACACATTTTATGTTATCACGTCAAGGTTAACAAAATAAACTCATACAAGCCATGACAGCAATAAATATGTCCGAAAAAATTAACTAGATTACTGAATTACTTAAAAATCAAGAAACTTACAATTTCAGCGAAGGTATTGCAGGACTAAATAATTTCCTTTCATCAAACCTTTGTGGTATTTTTTTTTTTTTTTTAATTTTGATTCATAATCACTTCAAAAAACTGACAAGAGAAATTTAACTTGTTTTTTTTTCCTATTTAATATTTTAGATATATCTAAAAAATAACTGGGTATACATTTTTATTTAAACTTAAATTTGTAGTATATGTGTAGCTATGTTTTTTTTTGTTGATCTTATATTATTCTATACTGATGATACCTGGATTGAAGAAACGTAAATCCTGAATTACTTGCTGATATTTGAGAGAAAGTTTTCTTTTGATATCTACCAAAGATTATTTTGAATTTTGATCTCATTAATTAATGAAAATAATTTAATCCTTGTGACTCCATAATTTAATTGATTATGGTTGATTGATTATTGATTGATTATAATTAAATTATTATTTGCTGAGCTGCCTAGAAGAGAAGCAGTTGCCTGCTTCCGCCTGGCCACTTTTCACGACTATCTGCAGAGTCATCTCTACAAGATAGGCGTCGCTGAGGATCCTAGTTGTAACTTGTGTCATCTAGGAACAATGGATGCAGACCATCTAGACGCATGTCCTGCCTTGAGGGACATAAGCGACAAAACATTTTCAAATATACATATCAGAAAATCTAAATTATACTGGGCAGCAAGATGTCGGATGGCCAAATGACCAACGAATGGCATAAGAAAAAAAAAAAATAAAATAAATGAATAAAAAAAATAATTTAATTGATACCATTATTTTTGGATGTATTAATGACACACAAAGACTTTTTTTAAATCCAACAAAATAGCATTTATTGGTATGAGAAGCTTGACAATAAGCCCGAACCTTGGAATCGACAATGGCATCATTGAGAAGTAGCAGACGATGGACTGCCAATAGTGGGCAACAGTGAGCCCGCACCCATAGCCAACAACGATCCGGGTGCATTGGGATGCGCAGCGCAGTGCGACCTTGCGCGCAGTGACAGCCTCGACAACAATTCCCTCCCTAACGACTTCCTCCCGACCTTTGCATCCTGCCGCACCTGCGATCCTTTCACAACGCAGCTATTTGTCCACTGTAGGTGCGACCTTTTGCTTGGGGGATAATCCTTTGGGGGAACAGGATTCCGTGCGATTTCAGAAAACTTGTCATACTACCATATCCGTATTTAACAACCTATAATAACGGATATTGCAAATGATCTTACTTTGTACCAAGCGTACCTTCTGGAGAATGTCGATCGCTTAAGGAAACGACTTGTCAGATGGTATACAGTAATCGCATTAACTGCGAAAGTATCATGTTTTATGCATTCAAGTGACTAAACAGTCTTAGTCACTATTATGTAATCGTTGTGTCAAGGTTCGATTTGAGGTTATGACTGAGCTTAATAGGCCACACACAGAGCTTAAATAATCCTAACATTGAGAAATTGTACGGATTTAAGTAATTTTCCAGGTAATGATTGTATGATTTTTCAGGCAGAAGGCAAGTATAATATCCAAAAAATAAGTGATCAAGAATAAGATTAGTGCTCGCTACTGTCAACTGAAAAGATCCACCCATCGTTTAGTTCTAGTAGCTTCAATACAAAACCACAGATGAAAACAAATTGGAAAAATAACACTATGGCTAAAAAAACAAAACAATAAATATATGATTTCCCCTTTTTATCAGATTACTCATTTTCATAAAAATGTGCGACTAAAAGTGTTGTTTAAAATAGTTAATTAATTAAAAATTAAATAGGACATTTTTCTATATCGCAAAAGATATAAAACAATTGCTGCTAACCTGAGTGAATAAAAATTTATTTTTGTTTTTATATTTTAAAATATTCATCGGTTTTTCATTTAGAGAAAAAATTCTATTCAAATACCATTTTTGGTAGAATTTTTATTCTAAAACATCAGACAATTCTTTTATTAGTAAAATGCATACAATTAAATTAAGGCAAACCAAATAAATAACAATTTGTTTTTGTTAAGAATATATATTTTATTTTATGTATGCTTTATAAAAAATTCTGTTTTTAAAAAAAAAACAATGTCACAAAAAATGACATGCAAAAGAGAAGTTTTCTGTTTAAATAAAAGATAACCTTTTTTTTTTTATTATAAAATCAAATATTTAATTTTAAACTTAGCTGGTAAAAATTAATAAAATGATATGTTTGGTGATGAACAAATAAGGCAAAAATTTTATAATTACATCAAATGTGATTTAACAAAATGTTGTGGTTATTCATAAAAAGATCTTTTGAAAAAGTCATATTTATATTTTATTAATTAACTAAAGATCTTAAAATATCCTATATAATTTGATTAAAAAAAAAAAAAAAAATATTTGAAAAAAAATTTGAAAGCTTTCAGATTTTCCAAGGACATTAACTTTGACTTTAAACAAAATACCTGCAATATCGATTGATTTCCTTCTGTTTAAATCCGGTAATTTTTTTTTTTTTTTTTTGTGTGTGTGAACGAAAGACACGTGCATCATTAAAATTAAACACCACTTTCATAATCCCATTTATATTGGTCTTTATTTCATTTTCTTTTTTTTTTTTTTTTTGAACAAATGTATATACATATGAGAAGCCTCATATCAACAAAGCAAGACAGCTGTCATTTTCAGAAAGTGGAAAAAAGCCAAATTTGGTTCAAAATGTACTGATGATGTTCAAGTTGAATCAGGAAAAAAAAAAACAAATCAGCATTGGTTTAAATTGAAGCTATTGTACAAACGAAAATAGGGGTTTTCTCAACGTTTTAAAAGTATTGTACAGCAGTAATAATACAAAAAAATGTTCTTTAAAATGCAATACTCTGTTTTTTCTTTTAGAAAATAAATGATCAAAGGTTATTATAAAGTGAATTATGAACGATCTCTTGTCTTTTCTTATAAATTCACACTATTCGATAAAACCTAGGATAAATATAATAAAGATAATTGATAACTACGTGACAGCTAATCTTAGGAAATAAAGGAAACAATACAGATCTGTTACACTTCACCAGACCACTAAAATCCTCGCAAGTTCTCTAAGTAGGTAACTGTTATGGAGAACCAGAGTTTGGGTCAAATTTAGAATAATATTGACTATGATTGACGAAAATCCACCTGCATTAAATTTTGGTCATGAGTGAGGGACTGATTGTATTATGAAAGAACAACCTTGGTATCATAAATCTGTTCAATAAATCAACCATTATTGGGGTAAAATATTCATAAAAATAATCATTGATCATGTGGTGCTAAACAATCCACCTTATATTATGGTTCTTCTAAAAATATTTCTCCTCCCCACCAGGAATAACGAAGAAATACGAAAGCAGACGAGGAACTGATCCAACTGGGATGTGGCGTGCCGAAGAGCATACCCGTTATAGCCCTTGGCATATCGTAGCCTACGTTCTCTCCTAACTGTGCCTTCCTCCAGTCTTCCCCCCTCCTGTCACATATATCATAACATACCATTAGTGCTTACTTATAATTTACAACGTTTCAGGTCCTCGTTAAGAGATAAAACACGCTAAATCTAAGACCATTCAGGCAACAATACATGCAAAAAGAATACAGCTACATTCCAACTTGTAAAGACCTATACAAACATGGCTATTAAAATTATAAGAATCTTTCTAAGCTTTATTAGGCTTGCAGACGTTTCGTCCCAAGCATGTGGATCATCGCCAGGGCAAGGGTCACTTAATTTTCTTAATTTTTAGTAACCATAGATCTGATGACGACACCAATAAACCATACAAAAGACTGAAAATTTTGATTATTTGTCATCTTCATTACAACTTCCAAGTTTAAAAAGGATTGCTACCTTGACGGGAAACTCATTTTTATTTATTTTAGAGTTAAATATGAGGTATTACATAACAATTTATTATTGAATTAATGATTTTAAAATATTTAAGCTAGTTTTATTCTCAATGTTTGTAAAAAGAGAATAAAATTATCTTAAATCTGAAATCAAAACCAAAGGAATTCTACGCATCATTTTTAATAAAAGAAAAATTATAAAAATAAATTGGAATTACTAAATTCTCGTATAAACTTAATGATCATAAATATGAATTAGGTAGAAAATAATGTATAATTGATCAAAAACTGAAATTACAGCAATGATAATACATATTTAAAGGCATTGTTAGAAGTAATAAAAAAGAAATATTGACCAAGGTTGAAAAC